TTATGAATAAATAAGAACAATAAAATAATGCTTGGCAGTGGTGGCACATGCCTTTAATCCCAGCACTTGTGCAGCAGAGGCAGGTGGGTCTCTGTGAGTTCTAAGCCAGCCTGGTCTACAGAGTGAGATCCAGGACAGGCTGCACAAAGAAACCCTGTCTTGAAAAACAAAAACAAAACAAAAAGAACAATAATATTTTAGTAAGAATAATGGATAACATAAAAGCTTCTTGTTGTCCATTAGTTATAAAAAAGTAAAAAATTAATACAATTCATTGTGTTAACAATCATTTGTTGATTACAAAACATAAAAAACTGAGAGTGTTTATCTTAACTAGAGACATGGACTAGACCAATTAATCTCACTGGAGAAGGAAACAAGAATCAATGCTTCATTCTAAGACTACACACAGGAATTCAACCTAACAAAACTTTAATTAATCAACATGGACAAGACTATCATGACGGATTTTACCAGGGCTAAAACGATGTAGTTCCTTACATTTATCTGCAGACCCCAAAGTCTATGTACAGAGCTGAAAACGACAAGTTGTACGTACATGTTTGTGTGCAGTGTGGTGGGACATTCATGTTTGGGGTGTATCACTTGGCCTGCCCACACATTTTCCTACAGTTATTTCGGGCTCATGGACTGACTAACCACAGAAACTAGCTTGGCTCCTTTCTACATGCCTTCCTCATAGGCACCTAAGCAGCCCTTTTCCCAGGCTGCTAAAAACCAAGGCTCCCAGCATCCACAAGGCTGGTTGCTGAGCACCAGAGCTTCTATTTATAGAGGAAAAAGTACTTTCTAGGTTGAATCATATGTCTCAAACTCAAAAAAGTCGACTTCTATGTTTCATGCTTTTGGAGGCACATGCTAGACCAGCACAGCATGCATCATTTGAAATCACTCAACACTGCTATGACTGACAGTTTGAAGAAAGATATTTTTCCCAGATAATAAATAAAGGTCTAAATAAGATATATTATGATAATTGCTACCTAACCTGAGTTTTAGAATAATAAAACTTACACCACATTTAAAAGCTGAGTTAAACCAAGGCATACACACATTTCTTTACAAGACAAATCTCCATGGTATCCTCTAGTGTTTCCAGACACTATCCACAAGTTCCTCACATTGGCGTTTGATTTGTCAAATCCAGACACTAGTGAGGCCAGAGCCTCTATGCTTTCTTTTATTTAAAAAAGAGGGTGACAGCAAGGGCTATAAGTATAGGTATTAAAAACAAAAGCAGAAACAGACTCTAGACAAACTGACCTAGACAAGAGTCAAAGTTTTTGTGCTAGGCATGTGTACAACAGAAAGTCAACCAGACTGTCACATCTGTCTTAGGTAAGTTTCTATTGCTGTTATAAACCCAATGACCAAAAGTAACTTGGAGGGAGAAAGAGTTTCTTTCCTACAATTTACAACTCCCAGTCACACTCCATCACTGAGGGAAGTCATGGCAGGAACTCAAGGCAGAAACTGAAGCAGAGACCATGGAGGAATGCTGCTTATTGGCTTGCTCTCCATCATTTGTTCGACCTGTTGTGTTATATAACCCAGGACCACTTGTCCAGGGATGGCACCACCTCTAGCTGAGCTCTCCCATATCAGTCATAATCAAGAAAATGTTCCACAGACTTGCCCTTGGGCCAATCTTCTGGAGGCATTTTCTCAATTAAGTTCCCTCTTCTTAGACAACCATGGCTTACATCAGGTTGACAAAAATTCCAACCAGGACATCCAACTAAACAGTGTGCTAGGGAACTTGCATAGATGAATAGCATGGGGGAATGACCTCACATGCTCTGTCCACAGACATGGGGGAGGGTTTCCATGACCTCCCAGCCTTCATCTCCCCATGGGTAACACATGAAGACAGTTTCTGCCTACTCCTGAGGGCCACCACATTGAGTCTATGCATTAGTGTGACAGCCCCCACGACAGTGGATATTACACAGCACTAAGAGAAAGCCCAAGGCAAACTGAAGCTGAGTTTCTATTTAGCCATAGCATCTGCACCTTTTAAATGTGGAGAGCTCCAGCAGGGGAGCCCACAGGACATGGCTTAGGCCCCAGTGTTACTGCTGCTGTTACTGTTTGCAGAGAGCTTTTGGGTACAACTCCAACACAAAGAGCTTTTTTTTCTCTATTTAGTTAGAAAGTCACACATTCTTAATAAGCTGAAAGACATTCTGGTTCATCGTGTCATTTCCAGAAAAAACCCTTCCATATAAGCGCCATCAGATTGCAAGTAGGGACTTTCTGTAAAGTGACATGTGAGGCGTCTGTCAGGTGGGGAAGCAGAGTGTCAGAGGTGTGCTTTGTACCTAATATTTCAGCCTGTCTTGGCTAGGGAAATTATCACACCCCGTGATTGTTACGTCTTCCTATCGTTCTTGTTCCTCAACACATCACACAATTTAATGACACAAAAAAACAAAACTTTTTCTTTTAAATTTACTTTCCTGATGCATCAATGGGATTAATATGGATTTCGATATTTTAAATTAAAAAGCCACTGAGATGGCAAGACTTTAGAAACTAAATAGGATTACTATCTCCTTTAATCTTTAGAGTTCATGATGATACTTTTGAATTCCTTTAAAAGTTGTACCCTAAATCTTCAAAATCATACCCTACTAGTCACTGTATGCACATTCTTTGAGGATACAACACACATCACCGGACGTCCCCCACATTTTGTCTTATTAAGCAAGTATGAGCTAAACAGAATGTGGTGGGGGGGCAGCTGTCCAAAGGCTAAGATCTTAGAAGGAAGCAAAGGCAAATGTCACTAACCAGAGTTGAGTTCAGAGATGATATTCTATGCCCAACAAGAGATTGTCAAACTCCTTAAAATCCCTTGTGTCACAGATGGTCAAAAGCTAAATTCTGTAGTCTAAATGCACTAAAATGTCTGGGTCACCTGCCAACACACACTGTAATGGGTGTGTGAAATCAGGCATTTGCCCATTACTGTTGCTTGAGAAGATAATTTTGGTTTTCCTATTTTTTACTCTTTATAGTCAAAGAAACTTGTGTTTGCAGTGACCAATACCAGGTTTGTTGAATTAAAAATCTTATAAAAGTAAAGTCTGCAAAAGTGTAAGAACCAATTTGTTTTAAAATGCTACACAAATCTAGAGAAAATAATTTCCAAAGACAGGAGAAATGAATCTTTCACAGCTACTTTTGTGGTTACATTCATGTTATTCTTGAGTAAAATAACATAAAAGCTACTTGCATCAGGTCTGGACCCTAAAAATACTTCCATTATCATTTTATGTATGTGGTTGAATTATGTATTCATTCTCTTTTGCTCTTTACTTCTAATAAGAAATAACATGCACACAATAATAGATTCTGCCATTTCAATTGCTTCAAAGACCATTTAAAATTTTTTCATCACCCACATTCTTAAATTAGAATCTTTAGTATGTACTTTTAAGGTATTTGAGTGCCATTTCAGTCTCTCTTTGTATTTCAATGGAAATAATGTAAATTGAACAAATTAAAAAAAAACCTGCATTAAATCAAAGTCAAGTTTGGAAGCTTTTATAAAAAAAACCATAATAAATTATATCATAAATTATCACTTTCTTCTCACTTTTTGCCACAGCCTTTAACATTTTCAACAAGCCAGAATTTTCAATTAATAGCAAAGTATTGCTTGTCACATCTTAATGGATGTTACAAACACTGATGGACAGCAATAAGATGGACAAGGGTGCATTGAGCATAAAATATCAGCCTAATCTTTGTCCTTAGAGACAAATGGAAATCCGGGTAAAGAATTTTAACAGGCTAGTAAAATATGGAATTTTTGTGTTGCCTTCTCACAAAGTAAAATGCAACCACAAATCAGAAACAAGTTTTGAAAATAAGTATTGATTATGCAGCTTCCATAAAGGTAATTCTGAAGTTGTCACTCAGAAAGAATTTCCCCCATTTAAAAAAAAAATCATAATGCATTACATGCCTTTTCCTTGAGGAAAGCAAACACTTAAAAATGCAAAAATAAAAACTGCACTTTACTTCTGCATATAAAAATAACCATATCTCTGAGGAATAAGTGCATTTAAATCATTTTATTGCACTGGAAGCTGCCAATTCGCCTGTGAGTTGTTTCATTGCAGATGAAAAGAAATCAAAATACAGGACAGATGTTGAGCAAACCGCATTTAAGATCTGTCACACACTGGCATTTTTCAAGTGATTTTGGCTCCTCCATTAAATAAGGTGCATTTTGCTTGATTTTGAGAAGGGAAACATCAGGAAATATTTAAAGGCCAATTGCTGCCAATTAACTTTGATCAGTAAAAGTTCTATTTGAATCTTTGAGATTCTTCTCCTGTCTGAAATAACATACATTTATAAAGCCTAGCAAAGCAACAACTTGATGATTAATGCCTGTTGGCAGCCCTACCACAAGCTTGCTTAGCAGTGAGAGTTAAATAAACAACCGTCCCTGTGAAGGAGGAGGGCAGCAGAGTGAGAGCCGTGTTTTGTCATAATGGAGATAGGTGAAAACAATACCCTTCTTTGTTAAGAATGCAGCTAAGATCGTGTCTGCCGCCATCCATTCATAGTCAGCCAGCCATTTTAGGGATGTTTCCCCCAATAAAACCAGCTGCTGTTAAGAGATGAGAAGTCCTAGCAGCCCAAATAGTGAAGGTCTGATGCAAACTGGCTCCCAACAATCAGATTGGACAGAAAAGCACTGGAAGGGATGGGTAGGGACAGTACAGGCAGCCTCTGAGAATCACATGTGATACTTAGGAATCTTGTCATCAAATTTTAATCATGTGGGATCCAACTTTAAAATGTAATAAATACCACAAAGGGGAACCATATTGCCTTGTAAGCACTTTGTCTCAATATTCCAATTATATGTTTAAAAGAGCAGCATCCAATCATTATTTCAGAACCAATCACTAATCTTCAGATATGTTCCACAAAGTGCATGTAAAACAATGAGAACTTACTTCCAGGTCATTGAAAAACAGATGTGTGTCTGCCAAGTTAAAGATCATCTCCTCCATTCGCAGCCCGAGGGAAACAGAAGTAGGTGGATCCTAAAAGGAGAAGTTTACAGGTCAGGTTTGTATGATCTTCAGGTTGTAAGAAAGGCAGCATCTCATTTCAAAGGGAGGCAGTGACAGGGGAGGTGAGGACTACGTGCCACCCCAGGAGAGCTGGAAGTCAGCTGCCTGTACTGTCCATCATTTATCCCACGTGAAGTCTTCAGTGACTTCCTGGAGGAAAGGTGCTCCAACTATGGTACTAGGCATCGTAAAGAACTAGCTTGCACCCCCAGTATTACAAAGATAAGATATGAGGTTAGACACATGGAATAGAGGAAATCTATGCCACAATCCATGAAGAGTGTCTGCACTTAGAGTCCAAATAGCAGAAACTATAGTCTAGATTACGTTCAGAAAGGCAACAAGCAACAATCTTATTCTAGACAGTAAGTCCCTATCTTTTTGCTTGTATCCAGACTACCTGCCTGATTCAAGTCTCCTCCACAAAGGAAGTGGTGGCTGAGCTGTCTACTAGGGGCTAACGCAGTGACACATCCAGGGACCAAACAGTCAGTGCCATACAGAAGGAAGCACTAAGCCAAAAGGACCCAGCAGCTTTTTTATAATGCTTCAAGTCACGGCCATTCCATCTGCTCCCTAATGCCTCTGTCTTAATAATGTCTACTGGGATTGATGAGCTTGGGGTGGGGGTTGGGGATACTTTTGTTCTTTTTGATAATGCTGAATTTTTAATATATGACATTCAGCAACCAATATGCTTTCTGTTTGCAATCATTTATGCTAAGAAGAAAAAAAAATCCCACTTAGAAAGTATACAAGGAATATATAGTCAGTTTTAAAAGCTTTTCTTGGCACCTCCATAACCACTTTATAATGTATAGTATTTTAATTTTTTCCAAAGAATAATAATTTCTTATAATATCATATAATTATATTTTATTATCACAATAAAAAATAGGAATAAACACAGAATCGACCTAACAGGAGAATTGTAAATAGGCCATTTATTCCTTCAGATAGCCCACCCATCTGACAGGGTGTATGCACCCTGTGTCTCATCAGAATCTTGGGTCAAAACATAAAACACGAAGAAAACAACATTCCTTTCTATCACTACTGGCCAACATGGATGATGCACACTTCCGGTACTGTTTTCTCATTCTATTGCAGATCTCAAGACTTGATCACAGCTTTGATCATGTCCTGGAGTATCCGCCATAGAACTAGCAACCCCTGCTTTGGGAGGCTGTAACAAGTGTAGAAGGGGAGCCTTAGGCCGACCAGCTAGGGCCAACCTTGGCTCTTCCATAGAATAAGAGAGTAACAATAACAATACAAATCTTGTCTCTCAGGTCGCCACAATCACACCATCTCTATACATCAAGCAGAGAAGGAAGCTGGGATAGAGGGTTAGGAAGCAAATTCTGCACTCCTCACAGGCCAACCAGCTGAGCAGAGGCTGCAGAGCAGCTCCACCCACTTCACTAGCTCCACCCCAACACCACCCACTATCTACCTTTTTAGAGATGGAAGAGAAGAGGGCCTGAAAATAAGGAAAGGATGGCATCCTTGGCCTCTCCATTGTTCTGCTGATTGACAGTGGGAAAAAGGCAGGTGACTGTACAGCCAAGAGATGAGGAATGAAATCAACACCCACACACTTCCAGTTAGGTCATTCAGGCTGGTTTCCTTCCTTACCTCGTCCTTGTTTGATACCTCCTAATATCTAAGGAAGTTTTCATATATACAAGAATTTAAAAACAGTTTACAAATAAGTAAGACAAAGAAACAACTAACCCATGTGCTCTTAGTTTTAGAGAAAATTGTCACAAGGATTCTGCCAGTAAATGTCCTGGAAGAAGCTAACACTTAGATATCTGGAACAGGACTGATCAGCAAGGGCAGTTCAAACAGCTGTTTCTAAGACAGAACAGCAGTCTAAGATGTACAGAGAGAGACCAGAGAGCAGTGGTTCTCAGCCTTCCTAACCCTGTGACTCTTTAATACAGTTCCTCATGCTGTGGTGACCCCCAACCATAAAATTATTTTGTTGCTACTTCATAACTGTAATTTTGCTTCTGTGATGAATCGTAATGTAAATATCTGGTATGCAGGATATCTAATAAGTAACCTCCGTAAAAGGGCCATGCAACCCAAAGGGTCTCGACCCACAGGTTGAGAACCACTGCCCTAGAGGCTTCACGCCAATGGAAACACCCTGACTTGCCACAGAACCCTGCCAGCAAGTCTTTTCATGTGGTGAGGGTAGAGACTTACCACATCTATTTAATTGCCAACCGTGAAATACATGTACCACAATACTGCTGCTGTTTTTAAAAAAAAAAAAGCCTTATTTCTTCTTGATATGGTTGCTTATTTACATGGGCTTCAAAAGGATTTCTCTGTTGTTTATGAATATGTAGTGTACTTTAACTTTTCTTCATAAATTACAGAAACAGCTTGCTGGTTGTTAGTGTCACTCTTTCATAGTTTTTACACGTGCCACTTCAGGGTGCTGTTTCAGAAACATTTCCTACAGCGAAAACACACTTTGGCAGTAACAAAGAGGGGGGAAATTTAGCCTAGGAAGGAGGTCTGTGGAGAGCAGTATTTGTGGACATGTTTTAAGTAGAATCACACTAAAGAAACAAACAGAATCATGATCTAGTTCTCCCGCCTCGGTATTTAGACCCTCTCAACTGTTACAGAAATAAAAAAAATAAAATACAAGTTTGGCAAAACACATTTCTTGCTACCTGGAGCATCCTCTGATGTTTTCCATGCTCACTTTACAGTTTGCAAAGCAGAGCCCTAGGAGGTCCCTCCTCCCTGACATCCTTAAGTGCTAGATTTATGCGTGGAAACTGACCTGTCAAGTGCAAAGACGCCTCACACTAGCTGCTTCACCCAAGGGAGATTAGCAAAAGGGCAGGCAGACAGCCTGCATGGATTTGCCTACACACTTCGAGCGGCTAGAATTATAAAAAATTTTACTTTCCTATCATACTAAATATTATTTTAATACTTTTATTTTTTAAACATGCCTGATGTAAATAAAATGTGAAGAGAGCTAATCCTGGGCAGTTAATAAGTTACTCTTGGCTTGATGGCTTATTTTGGAAAATTCAGAAGAAGAAACAAAACAAACAAACTCTCCACATTCTTGGACCCAAAGTGAGACATGGAAATCACCATGCCTTTGGCTTCATTTCACTTTTCTTGAAATATGTCTATTCTTGCAATAACAGATTCCAGGGCTGCAGTTATGAAAAATTTAGAGCTTTGCCCTCTTTTCAAAGTAATATCTCATTTTAAGAAAAACTTATTACCGAATGTTTCCATTGCTCCACGTGACTATCTGGGGCACTTGCTGCTGCTCTCCACTCTGCTCTTGACTTTTCTAAAGCACTGCTTTCCCTGACACCACTTGTGAAAAAGTCAGAACTTTGCCCTCTTTTCAAAGTAACATCTCATTTGAAGAAAAACTCATTACCAAATGCTTCCATCTGACCACCATGGGCACTTACCAGTGGGGTTACCCTCTGGACATCATCCATCTTTCTGGGCATCCTCTTAGAATCTGATCATCCATCGTTTGGAACATCCTTGAGACTCTGGTCTCATCTATTCTGCAGTCAATTCAGGCCACCGTGAGACCCAAAGACCCTCCTGGCCCCAACCATATCATATTTAAGATCTTGACTATAGGATCACAAATCTATCAGCTATTGTTCACTTCTCCAGGGATGGAGAAAGCATCTGAAACTCAATGTGTGCCAAATCAAGCTCATCATAGTCTCCAAAACCTGATGTATCCCTTCACAAGAGTGGCACCTTAATAACCTCAAACCGCAGCATTTGATAAATAGCCTCTCCATCCCGACAACAAGCCAATCACAGCATCCTGATGCTTCAACCTGGACTTTCCATCCTCATCTTTCCCCACTTCTTTGCTTTGTGATTTTTCTCTAGCCATGGGCTTTTTTTCTGTTGTATGCATTACTGGGGTCTATCTCCTAAGCTACTCTTCTCCCACTTCTTCAAGCCAAATATCCAAACATTCTATCCCAAACAAAAGACCAACACATGTCTCACTTGTATTTTCTTCTCCAATGTGTGCCCTGTTTGTGGTTTCTGTCACAAAGTGCTTTCTTCAGAAGATAGCTAGTGAGAAGACCTACTCTATTATGGCTGTATTTATTTGTTATAATGGATATAGTTAATCTTTTCTGTAAATGTAGCTTAAAAATATCAGTTCAAATAAATATAAAATCAAATACACAAATGGTATGTGAATTTGAATATATTATGTGTTTAGATATATTTAATTATCTCATAATAACAATGCAGTGGTTCTGCTAAAAATTCTTACCATATGACCAAGGCAAAGGAACTGCTGTCAAGGGCTCTGTCCCCAGAGTTTCCCCACATTATTATATTCTGTTTTCTGACCAACCTGTGAGTTCATGCCTATCCTGAACACTGTTTCCCCCAGGCCTGACTCAGCATCTCCTATTTGTTTTTCCCCACTAGGCTCTGCAGTAATGTGAGAGTAAAACCATTTTATTTGCCAATTAAATTTGGAAATACAGATGAAGTTCTAGACCAGATCTGACAAAGTGTAAGCAGCTGAGATCATCTACTACCACTGTTATTTCTGCCATTAATATTATAGCCACAGCTGTGTGGCAGTCCAAACATGGGACTCCAGGCCATGGCCACAAGAGATACATCAATATTCCACATTCGATCTGGATGTGAAGCCCAGGTTTTTAAAAAGTAATAGCTGTCCTAAGAAAGCTCATCCTCTGAATTTCATTAGACAGAAGTTAAGGAATCATTTCTATAGTTTGGAACTTAAAAGCTCTCTAAGGTCATATGGTAAAATCTTGATCCGTACACATAGTATACTGGAAAAGAGAGAGTGGAACCTTCAAGAGGCTGGTCCCACAGGGAGGTCCCCCAGTTATGTTAGCCATATATTCAAAGTAGATAGTGGGACCCTCTTTTTAGTTTACCAGCCATATGAA